TCCATCGTCTATTGATGCCAGGATTGCCAAAAACCGCCCCTTCAGCAGAAAAACAAGGGTCAGAACACATGAAATAGGAGATCTTTTACAAGTCTTGAGTTAAAAATGATACTTTATGCACGTATAAAAGAGAAAATTTATGAGAACTCAAAACCCTGCCTATTTAGACAAGAAAAAAAGCCTATTCTATGATGGAAATGAAAATGAGTGAATTATAAAAATAGTCATGCAGTAGCGCTGATAAAATAATTTGGAGCATTTAGGGCCTATTCTATTCAACTCCAGACTCTCCACTCGCCAGACTCCACTTAAAATTAAGGCAAGAGGCCTATGGTAATTTAAAGAGGAATGAAAATTGGAGAGAACAGAAAAATGCTATGGCCTTTTAAACAAAACTTCAGCACCTTTTTCACTACATTTTTAAACTATTCTTATAAATTGTTGTTTTCTGTTTCCGATTGAGTCAACTCAAATATGCCTTGTCCTTAAGGGTATGTATGGTTGGATCTTGAATAGTTCTAATAAAAGCAAAAATAATGCTAAGGGAAGTTGTTTTCTTGTGTTGGGTTTTTCCTCGAAAAATGCAAAGAAAAGGCAATGTGAATAATTTTTAAATCTCCTTTACAGATACTTGTTCCCGGTCTCTATACAACAACAATAACATACCCGGTAGAGTCCCAAAAGTAAGGTATGGGGAGGATATGAATACACAAACCCTACCCCTACATAGAGAGGTAGAGTGGTGGTTTCCAGAAAGTTCCCAATCTCTATGCAATAGACAAATAATTTAAAAAAATAAATAAATAACTAAAAAGAGTTCGAAGAAATATCTAAAATCAATTTATTGAGATTGAGCCCTGTCTTGTATTCTCCATTTCTCCTCCACAATTTATATACTTTCAACTATCCTCCATAAATTCTTTACCTAGTATTTCTTATGTTCCACGCGGACTAAGAATGGAAGTAATTGAAACACACTCATATAACTGTTTGATTTATAATGGCTCAAAAGCCTCATGACTAGGTTTGTATGTTCCAAAAAATGACTCTATAACCATTATTTTGCATTAGTTGAGACTCAATACAGAACATTATCACATTAACAAGATAATATAAATTAGAACTAGAAAAGACCTGGAGGTCCTTGGTTTGCATCAGATTCTTCATCTAAAACTTCTATTACAGGATGGTTCCTCCTTGACTTTTTCTTAGCCTAATGGGAAAACATATGCAATATTCAAGTTGCATAACACGCCATCAAAAGGGAAGTGAGTGAGATAAGTAAGGCATGAGAGGTCTTTAAAATAAGTATATATACCTCGACAAAGCTTCTTGGTGAGCATATCACAACATCATCATCTGGAGCATCAGAATTTGCCATGACTTGCAATTGTGGAAGGCCAAGCTCTAAATTTGTATTCACATGAATGCCATTGTCCATTACTAAAAGATCTTCAACCCTAGGAGGACCATTAAGATCTAAATCTAGAACCATCTGAACATTGCATGCATATAGCAATGATATGCAAAAGATTTTAGTCTTGCAACAATAAATACAATGAAAAATTAGTAAATAAAATTAAATGAACCACCACAGAAATTAACTTTCAGCCAAAGGAATGAGGTTTCGTGCCAAGTTTTTACAACCCCAATTAATGTAACAAAAACATATGTATTAAAAATCTTAAAATTTTGGGAGCAATTTAAGGCTAGCCATGTTTTTTGCAATAAGTATCGAATCATCATGCAATTTTCTGCTTTTGTAATATATATGAGTTAAAAAGCCTCCAAGAAGTGTTTTTTTTCTCCAAACCCCATGTCAAATCATAATTAGTGTGCTTTGTATATAGACTTGAGTGTGGAAATCATTGAATTTCGGCCTCGTATCAACACATCAATCTCTTGATCAATGCTTCATGCAGAACAGTAAATGCAAAAGCATGTCAATATTGTTTACATTTAGCATCTGAATGTTGTGGTCAAATATTGATCATTAGATGAGAGCAAATAATCAAAATAAACCTTAGTGAATGCTACTTCAAAGATATATTCGTCATGGCATGAAAAATATCCAAATTAATAAGTAGGATAATAATAATAATAATATAGACAAAAAACCAACCAACACATAAGCTCACAAACAAAAAGGTAAGATATACAAAAAACAGTTTTCATTCACAATAGTTTGGGCCTCTTTGGTTCTTATACTGCCTTTGGCATATTCTTGCATGATTCTTTTGTTGATTATAGAGAATTAACAATTGCAATAACAACATTACCCCAGTGCCTCAAAGGCTCCTACCCATTATGGGATTGGGGGGGGGGGTCGGAAGCGTGCAGCCTGATCCCATGTTTGTTTCCAGATAACCCATATGAGCGTCGAAAGTTGCATTGACTATCTAATACTTCAAGCACAAACAATTTAAAGAGCCATTTTGCTTTACTCCATCATACTCAAGGCCAAAAAAAGTGAATCTTTGGCCCATCAGATATGACGGATCAAGAGAATCAACCGTTGATGATTCTAAAAGACAGATTATGGTGAACAAAATCACCCACTGGTTTTTGAAAGATCATTCTAGCTTTTTTTGAAAGATCTGCTCATTGTAAAGAATCAGAATCAACAAAACCAATTTAACAATCTACACCAAATGATTACTTTGTGTATGATCATCAATACTACATTTTCTAAATGAAAAAAAAACGTTTTTTTCCTTCACGTTTCACATAAAAATTAGGAGTTTGAAAGTTGTGCAAAAAGATTTCTTACCCACCTTTCCTAAGGCCTAACACCTTGAGGAAACAATTTTTTATTTTTAAGCAGTCCCACGATTCTTACAATGAAACTATCCCCAAAACGCGAAAGAATAAATCATCCTTAAAAGTAACCCTAAAACAATCAATGGGGAAAAATTGTTTCCTTTAGCTACAAAGCCTACAATCTAGAATTGATTGGGTTAACATATGCAGAGTAATATAAAAAAAGAGTGCATAAAAAACAAACAAATAAGAGAAGAATAGTCCACAAACACCTTATGAAATTCTGTTCCTGGAAATCTGAATGTGTGGGTGTTGGTGGTAGGGAGAAGAGGTGGGGGGGAGGGGGCTATGGGCTCTCAGAGATGGTCGGATGGAGTTGTGTTTATACCCCGGAGTACATAACATTCTTCATTGGTAAGTTTAAGCATGACTACGAGAGGAGGCGGAAAGTCAGACTTTCTTTTTCTCCTTCCCAAAAATATTTTTGGTCTAAGAGTAGCCCAGCATAGTGTATCTTATTTGCACATCAAATTTTTAGGAAAACACAATATTTTTGTATGGAGTAATATTTGAATAATTTTTGTTAAATTTTAAAAAAATTAATCATAATTTAAGAAAAAAATGTATTTAGTTATACCCAATTTTATATAATTACTTCATATTAAAAAATAATTTTAATATACCAAATATCTACAATATTTATTTATACTCTGTATGTTATTATTGTTACTCTGTAGTACTGCGTAACTATCTCAAGATATTTTATTGATTGTAAAAAGTCAAGGTGATCTTTTTGAAATATTTGGAATTTAGACTCTTTCGTCCCCATCTTTCATACAAAATTTTTCATAATAACAAGTGTATAGACATATTTAATAGGTGAGAGTAAAAAGTGGAATGTTTATAATGCTGATATTATTTTCTTACACATAGATAAGTTTTAATTTTTAATAACTCATTTTTATATTGGGTAATATAGAGTATATAACTAGCATCTAAAACAAATGCATATTTTTTGTGCTAGGGAGGTACTAACATGTTATATCTATACAACATAAAAAATGTATAGTATACTCTTGCTAACATGATATTTTCTCTTCTTTTATGATTTGATATAAATCTCTGTATAAAATAATCTCACATTTTTAATAATATGTAATTGTATAAATTAGATTTGTGTTAATTCAATATTCGAAATAGAACACTAATATAATAATATATGCCCACTTGTAAATTCTATTTATATGTCAACCATGGCTATAAATAGATAACTGGGAATTTGATTAATGTCTGCATCTGTATCCGTTTATATGGAAAATATCGTTAAAAGCAGAATATGATAATAATAATAATATAATAATATAGGACCACTTGTAAGTTCTATTTACATGTCAACTATGACTATGAATGGATAACCGCAAATTCAATTACCGTCTACATCTGTATTCGTTTATACAGAAAATATCAAATATTTTTCCATCATATAAATTGCATGATTATTCAAATATTCATTTATGATTCATTAACTATTCGAATCTTAATAAAATACATATTTATATTTTATTTTAAATTCGTATCATATTTGAATTCGGATTCGTATTCAAAAAAAATTAAACAAATATAAATTGATACTGAGTATTTGGTTCGAAGGTTCGTTTACCAAGCAAGGCCCGGGAAGGTAGGTAAAAGGAAAGAAAGGATAAAACTTCGTCCCAACCCTCAATCGTCAGAGAGAAGAGGCAGCGCAGCTCTAGAGTCGAAACCCCAGCCCCACTCGTCCCACCGCCGCCGGCCACACTGTGTCGTTCCACCGCCGCCCAAGTCATTCGTTCCCCACTCTCAAGTCTCTAATCTAAAAGGTAAGCAACTACAAAGAATTTTCAATTTTAGGAATTAATGTGTGATTTGTTTTCCATTTTATTTGAGCATTTTGCTAATTTTTATGAATTCAAATCTTATAAGTGTTTGCATGTGATGTTTAGACATCTATTTTGCAATCGGCTGCTCTGTCTCTTCTATGGTCCGTACTGCCTAATTAAGCTCACTGTGAGATAATCAATTTTCAATATGCAGAGACAGTATAAAACACTTGCAACCCAAATTATGAACCGCATAATATAATTTTGTTGAGAAAAATGAGTCTAAAAATTAGTGGTATATCCGCAAGAAAACAGAAGACAATCCCATCTCGCATCAAATTATTCCAACCCAATCTAAACTAATTTCTTACATTTGTTGGTTCCATCATCCATGGTATGCTAAATACTCATTATCAACTTATGGAAGGAACCCATACTATGGCCTTGTTTGGAAGTTGGATGTTTTGTGTCAGCTATTGTGAATGACTATCTTGAATGGTTGATTTGTTTAGCTTATTTAATCTGCAGTTAGATGTTTGTTAATACTTCCTCTGTTTGGATTTAATTTTCCCATTTCTCCCCTTTCTCCGCCCAGATCTAATATTCCCATTTCTCACATTCATGTATGTTTGGACAAAAGCACCATCCCCTTTTTCTCTATTTGGATTTAATCTTCCCATTTCTCATGTTTAAGCATTTTTTGTGAGGGTATTTTGGATGAATCTACCCCATAGTCAACCTCCTTTAAACATAAGGAAAAGTCAATTTCCATTGTTCGACTTCCACCCACGCGTCTAAGAGGTTGAGATTATAAGGTTGTACATATACTAATGGGTATGAGATCCACACAAGAAAGAAATACACTTTCATATACGTTATCGAAATTATTAATGTAGAAATTTTAAATGAGATGCTATAAGATGGTTAAACAAGAGGGCATCAATAATGTAAGTTTTTTTATCACTAAGCCAAATTTGGAATGAACGAGTAATATACATTTTTCATTTTATTTTTACATTTTTGTTTGTAATTTTGATTTTTTATTTTCTTCGTTCATTTAATTTTTTTCATTTTTTAAATTTTATTTTTAAAATTTTAATTTTTAATTTTTAATTTTGATTTTTAATTTTTTTATTTTTGGATTTTTAAAATATTATGATTATCATTTTAACTTATATTTTATTATATATATATATATATATGTATGTATGTATGTATGTGTGTGTGTATATATATATATATATATATATATCCATAAAGAAAAATGATAAAAAAAATTGATTTCTCATAACAGCCAAGTCTAACAGCTACTCCTCATGGCTTTTTAGAATTTGGATTTTTGGACCAATGAGCTAAGTGAAAAAGCCAATTGCCAAACAATGATTTTGGCCAATTAATTAGTTAAAACAACCAAAGTCAGTCAAAGAAGTCAAAAAATAATTTAAAAGCTATTTTCCGAACACTCCCTATGAATCTGCACATGTTTCATTACATGCATTTGCTGAAGGGGTCTGTTCCATTAACATCGGCCCCAGTTGACACCTGCCACCTAACCCACCCCCCTAAACCACCACCCCAGACCCCCACACGTCTCCCTTCTTTGCCGATTGACTACAGGAAATCTGCAGCCAATCAGTTAAAAGGGAGGGGGCAAGGGGTGAATGTAGGGGTGGGACAGAGGACCGTAAGTTCCCATCATCGGATGACACTCACTTTCCAAACCTCACCCTTTCTAGAGCCGATCTTCATTGACCAAATCATTATAGTGAACTTACTTTGAAGATGTTCAAGATACATTGCAGGCTATATTAATTTTTGTTTGTTTTTGTTTTTCACTTTTTAGTTTATTTGTGTAAACTTTTTGATGAAATACAGATTATATGTACATCTTGAATTTATATATACTAATCCTCTAATAAATGATCTAATAAAGAACTTTTTATATTTGTTTTTGATGTATAAAATAAATCAAGACAATGATAGTAGCTATTTCCTGGCTTCCCAAAGGGGCTGCTAAGTCAGTCCCCGCTCCAGCTGAGCCTCCTTCGAAAGAAGAAGTCGAAGAGATGTTGAAGAGTGGTGTTCTTCAAAAAAGGTGATTACTTGTCTTCTTTATTCCTAAATATGATTATCTGTGTTGGGGTGTAGAAACAATCAATTTTATGATCAGAGCACTGTAGGTGCTCCAATTGAATTGGTGTAACAATGTTACACCAATTGAGTTGGTGTAAGATTACCCATCCTTACACACACACCCCTTCTTTTGACAACAACCCTTGTCATAATATTGATGGTTCCTACGGTGTTCCGTTCGAACGGGGGGAAGAACCATCAATTTTTAGTACGGAGCACCGTAGGCTATTGTTGTCAAAAGAAGGGGGCCGATATATATGTGTGTGTGTGTGTGTGTATGCACACACACACTACTTAAAGAACTCTACAAAACAAGGTGACATGACTTTTTTTATCAAATAAGTAATGAAAATAGGAAAACAAAGTTGGCCAAGCATGACCTTGTGAATAGTGAACATGAAATCTTCTTTGGGTCGAAGGGAGTATGTACTCCCTTTGCCCATTTTTATTTGTTCCACTTCGGTTTATGATGCTTGCTTGCAGTTTTTTTCAATTCAATTTATTTAGAAATTGTTCGAAGAGAGAAATGTTGTGCGCCAATGCTGTGAGTCACATATTCATTTCCTTAAAACAGAATGGGAGAAGTGGAGTTTTTTGGGATATTCATACAAGGAAAGTGTGAAGTTCATTATAGGATGGAGGGTAGTTTATATGCAATGGAACATTGGATCTCTTTTAGTTTTATTTCATATTTTCCTACTACCTTGTTTAGAGTCCATATACTTGTAAGAAACAATGCATATGTAGAAGTATGGAGTATAAGATTACAAGAAAAGCAAAAACAACTACAAAATAAAGATAGAGCTGAAATGCTTATAAAAGCTATTCAATTTTGAACTGTTTCTTTTTTTTTTGGATACTCTTTCTTTCTTTGTCCATGCAATATTATTATAAGATGATCTTCCTGAAATAATGCAGCGATGAAGCTGAAAATGAAGAAGACAATGAAGAAGAATCTGATGTAGAAATGAACTTTGATACATCTAGGAATTGCGAGGTTGAAGGAGAAAATGAGGATTCTCCCGTCAATAATGTTGATTTAACTGAAGCTATGAAGGAATTGGACATGGACAATTACGATGATGAGGAAGATGGTATATCTGACCCACTGGCCTATGACACAAACATATTTATATTAATATACTTCATATATAATTGATGAGTATACAACTTTAGAATTTGACATTCACTTGTTAAGCTTTTTTGCAT